CCACACTCATTTCCTGGGTTCTAATGCAAAGAAGTAGAGCCTTCAAATCCACACTATTCTTATCCATTTTATGGATAATGCAGATCATTCTCACGCTAACTACATACTGACATAGACATCAATAGTCACATGATTTCTGTGGACCCAGTTGTGAAATACTTTCTGTTGAAAATTACAAAACCTGTGAAGAAGGGTAAACATCTAAACTCTTGGGTCAGCACAAGAGTTCAAATTCAGTCCTCATCTATTATTACAAAAGTACAGAGTAAGCGTTACAGAAGCTGCACCACAATATACAGAACTGTAGAAAAAATATTCTCATCATGAAATATTTTTGGTCCTAGGCATAGGCTTTGTATGGAATCAAAGGAGATCGGGAAACCACAGTATAAGCTAAGCAACACTGTTTATGGTTTCCTTTTCCTGTGCGATTCCATGCCCATTACTTTACTTTTAATCAGGATCCAGTTAATTCTACAGAGTAAGGCATGAATGAATAATCCAAGAACAATATATCTCTACATTTATGACTCATTTAAATAATATTCATTGTAATGCTAATTCCAATTGGCCTTAATACTAAACACCTAGAGTCAGATATTAGGGGGTGAGAGCTGAGAGATCAGAGAAGCAGTTCAGCCAGCCACTAGAGGGACTTTTACCTCTGCAAAATCCTCAGATTCAAAGGTGTGATCCTGTCTTTTGAACCTCAAACTGCATCTCCAGACTGAATCCTCAGACTGAATGCTCAGACTGTATCCTCAGGCCTGTTCAGAGTACATCTAAGCTCTTGTCTCCTCCCGCCTTGAGTTCTCTCTCTGCCCAACCATATCACTTCCCTTCTCTATCTCCCTGGTACTTGATTTAAAGGTGTGAGCCACTACCACACGGCTCTGTTTCTTTTTGGGATGGCACCAGTATAGTGTAGCCCAGGGTGACTTTGAACTCACAGAGGTCTGTCTGCCTTTGTCTTCCAAATCCTGGAATTAAAGTTATGTGCCACCACTGCACATATATTTTATTAGTTGTAATTTGATTAGCACATACCTGAAATTAGTTCTGCACTTTGATCTTTAGGCAAGATTTATTTGTTAGATCACAAAATATCACTATAATCCTCAGTCTTCACCATTAGTCAAAATAATAGAAAATGTTTATGAAAGCAGTATTTGAAAACTTGTTTATTACTCATTCCAACTGCAGTACTACAGGCAAGTCTCAGAAAAGACAAAAACAACTTTACTGTTTTTCACTCTACATCCATTTAAAAAATATGTTCTCTAGTACTAGAGTTTCTTTGAAAGCAGCATCACTTTTATCTCTCTTTACAAAGTGCCAGTCAAGCATAAAGTATAATTACATTGGTAAAGGCTTGGTGAACATTTTTTACATCTATCTGGTGGATATTGCCAATAATTGGCAGAGGAGTCGGTCCAGGAGATAGCTTCACTCTCTTACAACTCCGTTTTCAGTATGAGAACAGAAGCAGACATGTCAGAATGAGCACTGAGCCCATGACCAGATCCATGGTTAGCCTTCCCACTGGCACAAGTGTGATCAGGTAGTACAGAGGTTTTATAATGTGGTCATAGAATTGTCCTCTTGTACTTTGGAGCATTATTGAGTAACCAACTAGGCACTGTTTAAGCTCTCTTCCAACTAGACTTTGTCCCTGTGAAAACAAAAAATAAAAATGAACAGTTATTTAACCTTGTCCTTTATAGGGTGCCTCTTAGTGATTTTGACCTAATTTTATATAGTTATGACCAAATATTGGTGATAAATATGAACAATGATTTTGATATTGTGAAAGTCTGTCTTTATTTAAAATAGTTAATTTTTAGAAAGTATTTTATTCTGAAATTATAGTATAATTTTGCCAGTTTACAGTTTCTACTGTATGCTTGTTTTTGTGATTATTTAAAATAGTTAATGGATATGTAATTAGCATATGTTCATTTCACAAAGTAATAGGATTCAAAATGTTATTTTCTTTCAAGTGTATCTTGTACTTTGACAGACAGTTTCTTCCTCTTCATTGTCTAGTTCATCATTCTTTCTGTACTTAGTTTCTGCTTGCAAATATTCCCCTATATTATTAGAAAAGCTACTCTAGAATATCATAATATATAGACTTTATGATAATTTATGCTGGAGGGGTTGTGGGGAAAGGGAACACTCCTGCATTGCTGGTGTGAGCACAAGCTGGTACATCCCCTTTGGATGTCAGTGTGGCAATTTCTCAGAAAATTAGGGAACAACCTTCCTCAAGAGCCAGTAATACCACTTTGGGGTATATATCCAAAAGATGTTCAATCATGCCACAAGGATATATGTTAAACTATGTTAATAGCACCCTTGTTTGTCACAGCCAGAATTTGAAAACAACCTAAACACCCTTCAACTGAAGAATGGATAAGGAAAATGTAGTACATTTACACAATGTTGTACTACACAGCAGAAAAAAATAATGTCATCTTGTAATTTTGCAGGCAAATTAATGAAGCTAGTAAACATTATTTTGAGTTAGGTAATCCAGACCAAGAAAGACAATTATCACATGTACTTACTCATAAGTAGTTTCTAAACAAAAAGCAAAGAAAACCAGCCAACAAATCACAATCCCAGATAACCTAGACAACAATCAGGACACTTAGAGAGACATATATATCTAATATTCATGGGAAGTAGAAAAAAGACAAGATCTCCTGAGTAAAATGGGAGATGGGGAAATGGGGGAGGGTTGAATGGGAGGGGAGAGGAAGGGAGGAAGTAGAGAAAAGTGAAGAGCTCAATAAAAAAGAATAAAATTAAAATAGAGAAAAAGGAGATTTATATGAAAGATAGATGAGTCTCAGTCCATGTCATCCAACAGAGGCTGCTTGTGGAAGGATAGTCCAAGAATGCAGTGCTTACTATATCAGAAGGCTATTTGAATTCCCTGTCTTCAAAAATGCTGAATCATGAAGAAGTAGGTCCTAATGACATTAAAGGAATTGACTCTCTGTCAATGTTAGGCACAGAGCACAAGTTTTCGTCTTTCATGTCAGAATAGAGTTTGGCAGAAGAATTTGTGGCTCAGATAAATGTGTGTTACTTCTTACTTCATGATATGGATTAGAAATAGATCTTCCTTCTTCAAATTAAACAAAATTTTCACACCTGTGCGACCTCCATTTTTGAATTTAAGTTAATTCTATATTTAGTAAAATTGACGAACAAGATTAGCCACCACAAATCCACCTCTTATCAACTTTAAACACAATTATAAATCTTTATATCATGAAAAATTTACAAATTAAAACAACATCCAAGTCATAATAGTGCCTAAATATAATATGACATCACATAATATCACATATGCATTATCTTTAAGTGGGTCATAATTATACATAACATAATATAACTGTTCCATGTACAACTGAAAATATAAATTTAGAAAAGGTGGCAATGCCCCTTGACAGACATTTATGTAATATCTCAAACTGAAATTTGACAACCGTGGATATTCTCTTATTTTATTCAAATAACATTTTTTCACTTATTTAGCATACCAAACACAGTTTTCCCTTCCCTCCTCTTCTCCTATTCTTCCCCAGCTTTCCATCTACTTGATTCCCTTCCACTCCTCCCCTTTCTCCCTTTAGAAAGGGGCAGAAACCACAGGCTGGAAGAAAACATGGCCCATCAGGATGAGGCAGGACCTAGCTCCTCTACTTGCATCAAGTTTGGGGTAGGTAATCCTCCATAGTGCCCATGCTTCCAAAAGTCAGCTAAACATCAGGGACATGACTTATCTCACTGCTAGGAGCCTTACATAGAAACCAGTCTACACAACTGTTACACAGATGCAGAGGGCCTAGGTTCATGCCGTGGAGGTTCCCTATCAGTTGATCCAGAGTCCACTAGCTCCCACTAGCTCAAATCTCTTTGTGAGTTCCCCCACCATGATACCCCTGGACTATTACAATCCATCCTCTCTTTCTTCAGGAAGATCCCCAAAGCTCAACTCTGTGCTTAGGTGTGTCTTGTAACTGTTTTCATCAGTTTCTGGATAGAGTGTCTCTGGTGACAATTATTGTAGTCACTAATCTGATTACAGTAGATTGTGAGTTCAGGTATGCCCTCTCCTATTCCTAGGAGTGTTATTTTGGTCTATCCTTGTGCATTTCTGGAGGTTTATCTGATACCAGTTTCTCCCTAACCCCAAAATGCTCCCCCATCAGGATAGTTCTTTAGTTATGTATTGTTATATAATATAATGAATAAATTGAAAGAAAACACAAAGATCTGAATCAACTATTCTTAGAAAAACACTCATATCAACTATAATTCTCACTTCTATAACTGTTCATGTGGCCGTATCTGATGGTTATAACCAAATTCATCTCCTATGCATTTTGGTTTTGCTCCAAACTTAAAAAGCACCACAGATATCCTTGGTTCTTTGCCTGGCTAAGAGACCCACACCTTCATTCCTCACAGGCCTACATCATCCTGCCAGGCTTAGGCAGTTGTAGTTTTCTATTAATCTTAATCACAGGATTTGCTATAAGCAAGGGATGCTTGAAGTGATTTCCTTCACTCGAGACATATCTTCCTATCTCCACTGTGGTGCAGCAATTCAATTTCCCCATTGTAATCTATATCAATCACCCCTCCAAAGAATGTTATTTATTTCTAAGCCTTTTAGTTCAAGGGCACCAAAAACCTAAAAGTGGCCAGTGCAAACAGTTCAATGAAATGTTTATTATGTCTTCTGACAGTATTGCTCTCACAACTATATGTAAAACTTCTAGTCCAGAAGAAGTTAATGCGAACGGAAAGGAAACAATTTTTATTAGGCCAGATGCTCCAGGATGTAAGGAAACGATTAGAAAGTACACACCATGATATGGGCTTGCAATCACTCTTCTCTAGCTGCCACATGAGTTCACTAGTGAGAAGCAATACTGTACAGAATAATATGGAAGTGGATAAGCTATTCTCTAAGTCCAAAGATGGTGATTTTAGTGGAGGTATGTGCAGGAGAGGAATCTCCATAACATAACCAAAATATGTATCCACTTGTATATAGTTAACACATTGTCTTTTCCACGAAGGAAGAGGTACATCATTATACATCTGCTACAAAGTCACTGGCTGGTCAGCCCAGGTATAGGGCCATATCTGGGACTCTGGTATTTGTCTGCTGTGTGAACATTTGGCACTTAGCTATAGGTGTTGACAGGCCAACCTTGGTGAGTGGACGTTGGTTTTATCTAAGCCATTCACAAATCCCATCTCAACATCCATGGTTACTTTTTTATGGGCCCATTTGTCAGGGTAAGGAAAGGTTAAGGGAAAAGGCTGACAACCCACAGAGTGTGTCCTTTTATCTACTGTGTTATTAAGTGCTTCCTCAGCCAAAGTTCCAAGCTGATGAGTTTTTACATGGGGAAAAATTATTTTCATATACCTCACCAATTTGAAGATAACTACCCACAGAAATCTTTCTCAACAATTTTATAATCGTGCTCTGCTCAAGACCCTGACCATCCAACAAATCAGGAATCAGTGAACAATCCCACATCTGGCCAATTCTTTTTCAAACAGAATGTATAAGCATGTGTAAAGTCCAATATTCTTGAAATTCTGAAGAATTTTCCTTGACAATATCTTTCATGGTTGTACCAGAAAGGGGTTGGAATACAGCACCTGCCCACATCTGGGTTGTAACTGCATAACGTGCAGGACGTGTAGTTAATCTAGCCATAGTCTTCTCTTCCTCAGTCACCTAAACATAGGAAAACCCCCATGAGGCTATGTGTTCAAAGCCTGCAGCAGATGTCATTGCAATTGGAGTAGAGACAATAGACATTTGGACAACTTCATGTAACTTGCTTGTTGTATGACTGCATCATACATATACAACTTCCTTTTGATACATATGGTTGCTGTGAATATCCTACTTTTTGACATGGTGATTTAAATAATACCTAGCACATGTTGGGCAGCTCAGGTTGCAGAGTAACATGGTATCCCCTTGTCAAAAGTTCAGCTTAAAAAAAGCCCAATAGCGACCAAGAGCTACCTTTCAAAGAAAGGATAGCTCTCTACAGACAAGTGTAGAGACTTGTTCCCAAAACCCAAAGTCTTCTTCTGTGATTCTCTTATAGGGGCTTGCCAAAGGCTTCAAAGTGTATTCCTACCTTCTACTGAGACCTCTAGTACCATATGGTCCAAGTGGTGGAGTCACCTGTATAGGAACTTTTACCTGTTGAAGAGCATTCTCCTGTACCAGACCACATATGAAGATAGTAGCTTTTGAAGACACCCGGTATAGGAGTCAGAAATAAAGAATGTGCTGTTTCCAGAATCCAAAAAATTAAATAAATACTGTATTACTTTTGTGTTGGTGGGAAGGGTTAGGCAAGTGCATTATATTATCCTTTACCTTGGAAGGAATATCTCTACATGATCCACACCACAGGATTCTTTTTTTTTTTAGATGTTGCAAAAATAAAATTTCCGCCTCCTCCCCCTTTCCCATTTCCCTCCCCCTCCTCAACACATCCTTCCCTCCTCCTCCCTTATCCCTCTCCCCTCCCCCCACTCCATTCCCCCTTCTCTCTCTAGAATGAAGAGCAATCCAGATTCCCTTCCTGCAGGAGATCCACGGTCCTCCCACTTCTTTCCAGGACGAGGAAGGTGAGCATCCCAACAGGCAAGGCTCCCACAAAGCCAGTTCATGTATTAGGATCGAAACCTAGTGCCATTGTCCTTGGCTTCTCATCAGCCTTCATTGTCTGCCACGTTCAGAAAGTCCGGTTTCATCCCATGCTTATTCAGTCCCAGTCCTGCTGGCCTTGGGGAGCTCCCAATAGATCAGTTCCACTGTCACAGCACACCACAAGATTCTTAAGAATTTCACTAAGGTAGAGGGCTTTTGATTTATGTTTGGATTTATTTCCCATCCTCTGATGCATATATGTGTTTACAATGAGTTCATATAAAGCAATGATTCATATAAAGCAACTGATAAACTAGAGCAGCAGGTGTTGAAACACCCGTGTCCAAGTGTGCAGGGACAGACTCAGAAGGATTAGTACCAAAACCTAAGTGCTGACTTCAAATTCAGTAGAGGCACATTAGCCATAGCACTGTGGTTTGTCTCAGTCTCCTCTCTGTTCCCTGCATGTTCTGTCCTTTGAAATATCCCTGATCTTCTTTGTACCTACTTTATGGAGACATGATATCTTTGTAACTTGGTGTCTTCTTGTGAGTTGTTTGCAGGGAACAGCCATAGTAACATCACTATCATCAGTTTTGCATGACAGCAACGAATTCCCCAATCCAGAGACATTTGATCCTGGTCATTTTTTGGATGCAAAAGGAAACTTTAAGAAAAGTGACTACTTTATGCCTTTCTCAACAGGTAATATAACCTCATTTTCATGACTTTGGTGACATGAGGAGCTGTGGGAAATTTTACAGGTGACACCTAAGGGACTCAGAATTGTATTTTGTGCATGATTAGAACCTATGCACTGTCGTTGATACCTCTTCCCTGCTGGAATCAAATTTGGAGGTTACACTTACTTCACACACTTCAATAAAGTAAAGAATGCTAGTCGTTATACAATTTGCAGTCTTCCTTTATATGAACATCTCATGGATACAAAAGACAATCATCATAGAGAATAAATGTAACCTAGCCTTTGAACAATCACCATAAAATAAAGACTGCCATAATTTTACTTTTATTTTGGTTGTTTCACACCTCTAGGCTCAGCTATGTAGAAACACATTCCAAAAACTACAGAAAAGCTCAGATGGGATGAAGCCCACTCAGGGAAGCAGATGAAAAAGAGGTTGATGTGCTTGGACTTGTGTTTAGAGAGAATCACCCACCCTTGACCAAGACAGTTGCTAGGGAGAAATAGGCACAATTTTTCTCTCTAATACTTTAAATATAAAACACAAATATGAATCAACATTGTAATTTATGACTTTCTATCTGACAAAAAGGACATAAATGAAAGATAAAACCAAAAATTAAAATAATTTTACATTCTCATTCTTATTGTTTGAGTTTTATATATGTATACAATGACTTCTCATCAAAACCACACCTATATTTCAACCCAATCATCAAGTGCCTTTAATTCTCACCCTGCACTATTCTTTCTTACAACTTCGTACATGTTCTTTCTTTAGTATACAACTAGTATACAGCACTTTTATTCCTCTTCCAGTTTCCACCCCTTTTCTTTTTCTTTATTTTAATTTAATAGATTTTTAAAATATAAAAAATACCGATCCAAGTTTCCACTCTCCCCCCCCTGCTCATTCCCCCCACAAAACCTCTCACCCCACTCAAAACCAATCCTCAGAGAGGGCAAGGCACATTGCCTTGTGGAAGGTCCAAGGCCCTCCTTACTATATTTAGCCTGAGCAAGATATACATCCTAATAGAATAGGATCCCAAAAGCCAGTACATGCAGTAGGGATAAATCCTGGTGCTGCTGCTAGTGGCTTCTCAGTCTGCCCCAGCCATTCAACACATTCTTAAAGCACCGAGTGTACTATGTCCTTCTAGTGTGCTTAAGTTTAGCAACATACTCTAAAGCAGCAATAACCTAAAGGTAGCCAAATTCATGATTGAAAACTGGATCTACTCTTGAGTAGCCTCTATCTGTCCATATCTCTTCATTAGAGTGGGGATTTTTTGAGCATATTCCCAGTCCTGGCTGGAATTTTGGATAATGTTATCCATTTTTGCAAAGGTGATAAAGGGCTGGGTAAATGAATCAGCAATTAAAAGAATTTGCTTCCTTTGCCATAAACCTGAGCCAAATGCCCAGCACTAATCCTGGGAAACTCACAACCACCTGGCTTCCCTGCTCCAGGAGACCAGGAGCCATCCTCTGAACTTCCTAAACAAGTAACTTTGACATATTCATTCACGCACACATTCTAACATGTTTAATTGTTTGAAAGAAAATAGAGTTTTATGTACACACACACATATTATATATATATGTATATATATACATATATATATATATATATATATAATCCTAGGTCTAGGTGTAAGAAACTTCGAGGTCATAGAATCCTTGTAGTTGTGGCAGGAGACTCTATTGGAATCTTTGGGGCCCCTCTACTCCACCAAGCAGGGTGCTTGTCACAAATATTGCATCTTCACACCTACTAGTATGTTCTGATATATAGCTTGACATGGATGTTTCTTCATGGATCAAGTATTTTTGACAATAAACTCATAACATGATTCCTTCAACCTCTTTCTTTTTGAGCCAATATCATACTGATTTTTATTGTTATAGCTTCGTAGAATAATTTGAAATCAGTGATGCCTGTAGTCATTCTTTTATCATTCAAGATACTTTTAGTTATCCTGGCTCTTTTGTATTTCTTTGTAAAGCTGAAAATTCTCCTCTCAATTTTCATAAACACTTGTCTTGGAATTTTTATGGAAATGGGATTGAATCTGTAGATTGATGTGATATGGTGCTCAATTTCACTATATTAATCCTGCTGATCCATGAGTACCCCGCACCGCGCCCCCGTTTCTGCGCTCTGTGCGCTATTATTCTGTTCGCGAGCTTCGGGCAAGGGAGCTGGAGGTTAAAATACACAGACACACACAGACAGAGAGACAGAGACACGGGTCATCCTTGAATTCCCCAAGAATGCCCCCTTTATTGTGTTCAGGGGCAGATTATATAGAGATAGCTACGTCCCAGCCAAACCTACCAGAAAACACTCTCCTGCCATCAGGAACTCCTGAAGGTCTCTTGCTCTGAACAGCTGTAGGCATTCAGATCAGGGGATTACAAGAAATTCAGGATCTGGGGTCTCACTGGTCCCAACACATGAGCACAGGAGAACTCCCATCATCTGATATCTTTGTCTGTTTCTTCAATGTCTTGAAGTTTTTATCTTAAATATTTCACTTATTTTGTTAGAAATACTCTAAAATGTGTTTGTTTGCTTGCTTGCTTGCTTGCTTGCTTGCTTGCTTGCTTGCTTGTATATTTTTTAGTTTGGTTAGTTTTTTTTTATTTTTGTTGCTCTTGTTCTCATTGTTTAAGAATATTGTGAAAGGATTTTTTCTTTAGTTTCCTTCTAAGAACAATTCTCAATTGAACATAGAAAACCTGCTAATTTTTCTGCGTTAATTTTATAATCTGTCACTTTGCTGAAAGAGCGTTTCAGCTATTGATAGTCCTGTGTAGATTTTAGGGTTTAAATAATCATATCATCAACAAGTAAAGACTATTTTTAGTTCTTCCTTTCCTATTTACCTTCCCTTTATTTTTTTTAGTTGCCTTATAACTTTAACTGATACTTCAAATATTATTTTTAAAAAACATGGAGAAAGTGGACATTCCTATCGTGTTCCTGATTTTAGTAGAAATACTTTGAGATTTTTTTGTTTAGGTTGACTTTGTCTATGGGTTAATGCTAAGTCACTCTTATTATGTTGACCTCAGTTCCTAATATCCCTTGTCTATTTCAGGACCTTTCAGAGGAAGGAATGTGCTGTTTGGGAAAAAACCTTTACTAATGATAAGATAATTGTGTCACTATCTTTTACTTTCTTTATATGGTGAATCAAATTTTTTATATATGTATATTCAACCATTCCTTCATCTCTGAAATGAAGCCTATTTTAACATTGTACATAATCTTTTGAAAGTGGTCCTGTATTTGGTTTGCAAGGACTTTATTGAGAATTTTAACTGTATGGTCATGAGGCAAATTGAAAAATAATTCTGTAATACTTTCTCTCTGTCACCCTCTCTCCTCCTTGTTTTGTTTTGTTTGTTTTTGAGACAGGGTTTCTCTGTGTAAAGGCACTGGTTGTCCTGGAACTTGCTCTCAAGACCAGGCTGGTCTTGAATGTATAGAAATACTGCTGCCTTTGCCTACCGAGTGCTGAGTAAAAGGCCTCAGCACACCTATCAGCCTGGAATTCTCTTTTTCAGTTAGGTCTTCATGTGGTTTCCATATCAGAGTAATTGTGACCTCATAAAAATAAATAGACAATGTTCCTTTTGTTTCTATTTTGCAGAATAATTTGGAGAAAATTTTAATCACTGTTCTTTGAAACTGATAAATTGCTTCACAGAGTCTATCTGACCCTGGGCTTGTTTGGATTGAAAACTTTTAATTACTACTTCTTTTCCACTATGATTCATAAGTTTATTTAAATCTCTTATCTAACACCAGATTAAACTCTTGTAATATGTATATATCAAAAGTTTATATCTGTCTATTAGGTTTCCCAGTTTAGTTGGATACATATTTTTGCACTGTGCCCTTATTGTCATCAGACTTTCCTTAGTGGTTTTTGCTTATGCCATTTTCAAATCTACTTTTATTAAATTAGATTGTTTCTCTTCACCTTTTAGTATATTTAATATATTTGTTAAAAGTTTATCAAGTGTATTGTTTTTACCAAGAGATCAACTCTAACATTCATTGATTCTTTGCATTGTCTTGTTGTTTTGTTTATATTTACTCATTTCAGCCTTCGTTTGATTATTTCTTTCCAGCTTCACCTCCTGGATATTATTTTTTCCTTTTCTTCTAGAGATTTCAGGTGTGCCATTTAGTTAATGTGTGTTCTCTCTGTATCTCTTTCTCTTTACCACCCTTTCTTTTTCTCCCTTGTTTTGTTTTGTTGGACAATGAGGTCTATGACCTAACTTCTTAGGAGGGACTTCATCGTAGGTCTTAGTTTTCATTCAGTAGAGATTTATTCAGTTTCCATGAGTTTTTAAACTTTCAAGAGTTTCTTTAGGTGGTGGTATTTATCTTTAGTGCATGGCAATCAGATAGCTTGCAAGGTCTTCTTTAAAATTTCTTGCATCTGTTGAGAAATGCTTTGTGTCCATGTATGTATTCAGTTTTAGAGAAAGGTTCATGAACTGCTCAGAATAAGGTAAATAATCAATGATTATGTGAAATGGTCAGAAGCTCAGAATAAGGTAAATAATCAATGATTATGTGAAATGGTCAGAAAATATCTGCTACGCTAATTTGATTTATGTTGCTATATAATTATATAGCTCATTCATTCCTCTGGTTTGTTTTTCTTTCTGGATAAGCTGTCTTCAACAATATACTTCTTAAGATCGTATGTTATTTGGGAAAAACATGTACTCAGTGCCATCATCCTGCCTCAAGTTCAGAGCCACTTAATGACTAGATAATGATTACACACAATTAGCACTAAATAACATGAGCCATCTTTATTTATACATTATCAGAGCTTGTTCTACTAGGATTCCATGAATAGTTTTATTATTGGTTTCTATTACTGACTTCTAAGAAGTACATCATAGTCATCATGAAAACTACTTTTAGCCCCTACACACACAAACACATTTTCTCATCCCTTATATAACCTCAGTGTAGGCATAGAGTCTTGCACTTTTGCGAGTTTAATTAACTATCTAGCCAAGCACATACTGTTCTTGCAGCACATATGTAAGCTGGCAGCTACTCACAGTATAAAAGTTAAAGATTTAGACATGGGTACATTGCTCTAAGGACAAAAATATTTAAACTTCAGGAGTTCTTTTGGGACTGTAGGAAAGACTTTTCTATATTTGCCTGGCCTTCAAGATGGTGCTATTCCTCTCATTCTTTCTATAAAAGACAAACTTTGTCAACACTCTTGTCCCATTCCACTGTATCTTTCTTCTTCCACCAACAAATTGCTCCTGTGTGTGGTAAAAATTGAATTATCCATTAAAGACTTTGCATTAGATTTTGTCCTATTGTAGTATACTATATCCTACCATTAATGCTTGGTATCTAGGGAACTTATTCTCATCAGTTGGTACTGTGTAATTCCCCTTTTTATGTATTGATTACCGCAATCTCCTTCCCAGTACTGTAAGGTATGGTTAATGTTCCAGGTGTTGTTTCCTCACGTGAACCCATTATTTCCTGGAACTACCATTCTGAGTTCTTTTCTTCATGTTGTATTGCTGTCTACCTTTCCCTGAAAACAATTAAGAAAGCCTGTCTAGTTCATTTTTACTCCCTCTACTGAATCAAGAAAGTTTCCACAATAAGGCATTGCAGTTAATATTTCCAAATAAGAAAATTGAGAAGTACTAACCCCTGAGGAATCTTAGGGAAAGCATTTGAGGAAGAATGGAGTTTGCAGGGAAAATTAGAGCTGTCGCATGTGTGGCGGCCAAAGTGAAAGTAAAAATCACCAAAAGATTCATCAATATAATGAGAGAGAAGAGTGCACACCAGCCTAGCAAATCTGTCACTGTCCTTCTATGTGCCCAGATCCACTCTTTCCTGACAAGTGACATACCATCTCCACTGGAATTCCCTTGCAGAGACCCATAGGACTTGCTTATATATGCTGATCTGAGACTGGATTACACAGCTCCTGACACGCCATCTTTATTTATTTGCTTAAGCAATTGTCCTCTAACCCACCCCTACAGCTAACCAACCGTCCAATAACTCAGCACTTACATTAGTCTCTTATGCTAGTTCCAAACATACTGCATCCCACACTCACTCAAATACAAGGCACACTTACCTTTTTTGACTTTTTTTTTTCCCTACAGGAAAACGAGTGTGTTTAGGAGAAGGTCTGGCCCGCATGGAGCTGTTTCTGTTCCTGACCACCATTTTACAGAACTTCAAGCTGAAATCTCTGGTTCCCCCAAAAGACATCAATGATACCCCACAAGTCAATGTAATTTCTGTATCACCTCCCCCTTTACAGCTCTGCTTCATTCCTGTCTAATGAAGATCAGATGCCTGGTTCCTGCTGTGTTCTTCTCTGAAATCACCCTCAAACCTTGTATTTAACACTTTCCCGGAAGGCATACGGTGTCTTTCCACATTCTCACAGCTTCCGCTCTCTAATTTCTCACGGTCATCATCTGGTCTCCATTTTACAGTCTCTGAAGTAATCGTCAAAGATATTTGCCATTTCATACTCTCTGTAGCACTCTTACTATCCCTTGTATTCACATGTAGCTAAACCGATAATTAACATGGCTTCCACATAAAGTGTATAGGGTCCAACTATATAATGTTTGTATTTCCTGTATGTCATTGACAACAACATATTAAATTTGTATTTCTGATTTCAACAGACTTTCCATCAGTTTTAATAAGAGATGAAAGAAAAAGGAGTTCCCAAAGGTCCTGCTGGACTATATAACAAGAAATTTTCAGAATGTAAAATAGGAATACTGTTGAGATGACTCAGACAGCAATGTTCTTGTCATATGTTTATATTCAAAACAAAACCTAAAGGTCAGACCTGGTGATGATTACTATTTATACCACAGTGGGAGACTGAGTCAAAAGCATCCCTGGATAGAAACAACTCATCCTGTATAATTGCCAAGCCTTGAGTCTCATAGGGATACCCTGTAACAACACCAAAGACTGAACTCATACCTCCACATGATCATGCAGGTGCACACACACACACACACATACACACACACACAACACACAAAGAGGCAACTACTCACTATTGTACAAGCAGTCTGTTATCATGTACACACATAGGCCTATATTCTTCCCTGGAACTCACATATGCAAAAGAAATTATTGAAAAGGATGCGGTGAGAAAGCTCTTTAGCTGGAAATCCCCTTGCATTTTCAACGGAAGCACTTGCATTATAAAGAGATAAACAGTGAATAGGAGCGGCAGCAAGCTGTAGAAAAAGAGGTAGAATATACAGGGAGAATACAGTCATTTCATGCTTTGCTCGTAAACAAAATGCAAACATTTTAAATATGTTTTTGATTTGTTTCTTCGTGTTTAATCCTGGGCATGTATTTCAATTCCATATTGCTTTTCATCTTCTCTTCAGCAAGAATAACAGTCAGAGGAAGCATCATTTTTATTATGTTAGTGGCTATATTCTCTCCCCGCAGCACTGGAGGTTATTAAATGAGATATAACAATTACACCCTAGAAAGAGAAAACTCCTAAACTGCCCAGCGTATGAAAGAAATCAACTAAGACTTTCTACCTGAGTGTTTGAGGAGAAAAGACCCTTATACATTCTCTTGATGGATACTTTTTTATTTTCTTATGTTGAACTTTTCAATTCTTCTGTGTTCTTCACAGATATATTTACCCAACAGAATCTATCAAGTAATCCAGGAGCAACATTTGAATGTCACATTTCAATTCTCAAGTAAATGATAAAAACAGAGTTATTCCAATTACTCACATGAAATAAATATAAATAACTCATCACATAGCAAGGATGGAACATTTTTCTATGTCAGCTCCCTAATTTGTGAGCTGCACCTTACAGATGCCAAGAAAGGAACAGTCATTTTGTTATCTATCTAGAGAAGTCGTCTTATAAAGCATGAGGCTATAAACTCTTTAAAATCATGTGTTTCTGTCACTTCACAGGATGTTTTCCCCCCATGGTGATCCTCCTGGAGGGTTGACAACTTAAATATCAATTTCTATCTGCTGTTATTTTGTTATGTTTCATGGCAAACGACATCACTCATAAGCTTTTCCATAAATTCCAAGAAAGCTACTTTGTTGGTTCCTCTTAGCCACTATAGCAGTGGTGAATGCAGACATACGTCTACCTACACATCAGTGTCAGTGCAGAAGCAAACGTTCGTGCAACCTATGCAATCTATACACAGATAAAAATGTTTTAAAATAAGGGTTTCTGTAAAACTGGATCAAGATACTTACACTTTGTTCAATTGGGTTTTTCTATTAAAAGATACAACACTAAATATTTCCAGATACTTAAAACAACAATCTTTTATGTAGTTTAATTTTAAGAAAATGTATAATAAATTGGACAAGAGAGACAAATAAAGAGATAAAGGGGGTTACTGCTTTGAAAGGGGCTGCAACATGGTTTTCAGTACTCACATATGGAGGCTCACAATTGCCTACAACAACATTGACACACCTCTAACACTATTCTAGGGCTTATTCAGATGCCTGCTCAAAACTATATACAAACACAGGCACAAAACGTTTTAATTACATCTACAAAAACATATAAAGTCAGACGCGGCGGAGCGGCGCGGCGGCCAGACGCGGCGGAGCGGCGCAGCGGCCAGACGCGGCGGAGCGGCGCGGCGGCCAGACGCGGCGGAGCGGCGCGGCGGCCAGACGCGGCGGAGCAACACCGCATACAGGAAGAGGCTTTCGGGGACCTGCGCAGCTGCAGACCCAAGCGGCGAGGACAGGCGTGCAATAAGGAGAGCAGTTCGCCCTACTACAATTGAATCAAAGAGGTAGGCTTTTGGTTGGCCAGGTCACTGGCACAGGGGAGCCTGGTCCTGTCCTGAAGATCCTTCGGAGGGGTGAGAGGGTTCTTGGCCTGCAGCAGGAACCACGAAAGAGAGTGAGGGCATTTTGTAAGCGGAGCCCTTGGCCAGCAGGGAAACCTGATCCGGCTTTTAAAGGACCCATTGGATAGGATCAATAGGAGGAAATGGGCAGGCGCCAAGGTAAGAATTCACCCAATAATCCGAAAAACAACATGAAAACATCAGAACCCAATGATCTTACAACAGAAGTATTTGAACAACCTAACACAGAAGAAGTGGAAAAAATCGACTTTATGAAGATAATAGAGTCCCTTAAACAACATGTAAAAAATGCCCTTATAGAAATGGATGAGAAGTATAACAAAAAGTTTGAAGAAATGAGTAAATACGTACATGATACCCTGGGAAACCAAGAAAAAACCATCAAGCAGGTAATGGAAACAGTTCAAGAATTGAAAACTGAAATGAAGGCAAAGAAGAAAATACAAACTGAGGACCAGCTGGATATGGAAAATCTAGGCCAACGAGCAGAGTCTACAGAAACAAGCATAATCAATAGAATACAAGAGCTAGAAGAAAGACTCTCAGATGCTGAGGACACCATAGAGAAAATAAACGAACAGATCAAAGAAAACAGCAAAGCCAACAAATTCTCAACACAAAACATTCAGGAACTATGGGACACAATAAAAAAACCAAACCTAAGAATAATAGGAATAGAAGAAGGAGAAGAGTCACAGCTCAAAGGCCCAGAAAATATTTTCAACAAAATTATGGAAGAAAACTTTCCCAACTTAAAGAAAGATATTCATTTAAATATTCAAGAAGCATACAGAACACCAAACAGACTGGATCAAAGAAAAACATCTCCTCGCCATATAATAATCAAAACACAAAATATACAGGTTAAAGAAAGAATATTAAGAGCTGCAAAAGAAAAAGGGCAAGTAACTTATAAAGGAAAACCGATCAGACTTACACCTGACTTCTCGATGGAAACTATGAAAGCCAGAAGGTCCTGGATAGAGGTTCTGCAGAAGCTAAGAGACCATGGATGCAAACCCAAACTACTATACCCAGCCAAGCTATCGTTCACTATCAACGGAGAAAACAAGACATTCCAGGATAAGTACAAATTTAAACAATACGTAGCCACAAATCCAGCCCTACAGAAAGTAATAGAAGGAAAATCGCAACCCAAGGAATCCAACACTGCCAACACTGCCTACAATAACCCAGGCATCTAATGACCCTTCACGAGCACATCTCAAAGAAGGGAGACACACAATCTCGACTACCAAAAGCAATAAGAATAACCGGAGTAAACAACCACTGGTCATTAATATCACTTAATATTAATGGGCTCAATTCACCTATAAAAAGGCACAGGCTAAAAGATTGGATACGAAAACAGGATCCAACATTCTGCTGTTTGCAAGAAACACATCTCAACCACAAAGACAGGCACCTACTCAGAGTAAAGGGTTGGGAAAAGGTGTTTCAAGCAAATGGTCCTAAGAAAAAAGCAGGTGTGGCCATACTAATTTCTAACAAAACTGACTTCAAACTAAAATCAATCAGAAGAGACCGAGACGGTCACTTTATACTCATAACAGGAACAATTCATCAGGAGGACGTCTCAATCCTGAATATATACGCCCCCAATATAAAAGCACCTACTTATGTAAAAGAAATATTACTAGAACTCAAGGCAGACATCAAACCACACACACTAGTAGTAGGAGACTTCAACACACCTCTCTCTCCAAGGGACAGGTCAATCAGACAGAAACCTAATAGAGAATTAAGAGAATTATTGGAGGTAATGAAGCAAACGGACTTAACAGACATCTATAGAACATTCCACCCAAATAGGAAAGAATATACCTTCTTCTCTGCAGCTCATGGAACCTTCTCAAAAATTGACCACATACTTGGTAACAAAGGAAACCTCCACAGATACAAAAAAATATCAGTGTCCACCTGTGTCTTATCAGATCATCACGGATTAAAGTTAGAAGGCAACAACCACGCTGCCCCCAAAAAACCGACAAACTCATGGAAACTAAACAGTCAACTACTGAACCACACCTGGGTCAAGGAAGAAATCAAGAAAGAAATTAAAGTCTTCCTTGAATTTAATGAAAATAAAGGGACAACATACTCAAACCTATGGGACACAATGAAAGCAGTGCTAAGAGGAAAGTTCATAGCACTAAGTGCCCACTTAAAGAAAACGGAGAATGCATACATTGGGGACTTAAAAACACACCTGAAAGCTCTAGAAAAAAAAGAAGCAGACGCGCCCAGGAGAAGTAGAAGACTGGAAATAATAAAACTGAGGGCTGAAATCAACAAAATAGAAACACAGAAAACAGTCCAAAGAATCAATGAAACAAAAAGCTGGTTCTGGGAGAAAATCAACAAGATCGACAAACCCCTATCCAAACTAATTAAACGACA